TCCAGTGATGTGCAAGAATGAATCGGAAATTATTTACTGACTCATCCTATCATTAGTGTGAATGTTACACTTCAAACTTCCATGCACTGACTTTATTTTGAGGAAGGTCACAAGAATTTAGTAGTAAAAGAACACAACGTTGTTATACAATAACGAGCAGATATGACATAAAGGCTAATAAAATGTGGATCGAGGATAGGTCTTCATTTGTGATGAGTTTTTGCAGAGGGCAGGGACACTACAACAGCAGTCAATAATTGCACGCTGTCCTGGGTGCAATATGGGCCATTTGAGCCACAACCTCCTAACTGCAATTTCACAGGAAGACACCGTGAATGTTTGATTTTCTAAATGAAGGCTTTCAGCTTTCTGTCATGACTGTGCATTGACTCAGTATAAAATGCAGCGTTTAGTGAAGCTGCCCATGCGAGAAATGTGTTAATTAACAGTGTGCCCGACTCAACACTTTCTGTGCTGAATGGAACTCATATCTAAATTGTCACTTGCAAACCTGTCACAGAATGATTATAAAGGTATTTTTCTACTTCTATGACTGACTGAGACTTTCAGCAGTACAGCATAGGCCCACTTGCTACAAAGTTAGGAACGATATATTATATACTAGCCTTAAGAATACACTTCAATCCAGGATGTACAGCAGAAAACTGCTGAGTTTAAATGATGGGATCAGGTAGTTCGACCAGCCACTAAAAACATGACTCACCTAAAGAAAGCTCAAATGGTTTTTGCTTCTTTTATGAAAGAGTGTGCAATCCATTAAATTGCATTGTTCATTAAAAGAAACATCTTTATTTTAGGGCTAGGTTATAACTCAATGTTAATATGGAATTGCATCAAGACGGTCTGTTATCGGGCCATATCTACCTCAGCTTTGAGTTATTTCAAACATCACCCCCCCCCCCAAAAAAAATATATATAGTAGAGATGGGAACGATTAATCGAATATTTGAAATTATTCAGGTATTCGAATATGAGAATATGAGTTATGAATATTTGTATTGTAATATTTTGTGCCTAAGTTGATTACATATGATCAAATGGAATAATTCAATGTATACGACAGTGCCATAGCTAAGTGTGTTAGGTCTAAAGGTGTGTTTTGCTCCGCTCACCGGTCCCTCACAGCGGGCAGAGCTGCAGGTGCTGATCTCTCTCTCTCTCGCGTCCGGTTATACTTCACTCGCGTTTATGTTCAAATCCATCAGATCTAGCTAGTTCTAGCTAATGATATGGCTGCTGCCCCTCCCTACACGCAGATCACGCAGACTCAAACCTCATCTTATGCCCAAATTCCAGCTGAGAGGGTCTTCTCTACAGCTGGCCTGATTGTGAATCGCCTCCGCACCCACCTCTCCCCTGAGTAGACATGCTCATATTCTTAAACAAGAATGAGTATTGAATAGCTGCATTCTGTGCAAATTTGTATTTTTTTTTTTTTTTTGGTCAACATTTTTCCTACATTCTTTTTTTTTTTATAAGATATGTACATTTTGGTTAATCGGTTAACCGTTTTTTTGGGGCTCGAATATTCGAATATACATTTGCTTTCAAATTCCCATCCCTAATATATAGGAGGGTCTCCTGTTCCTATTTTTTTTAGAATAGCGAGAGCACAAGCACTTCTTCCACACAATAAGCCTTGTGGCCAGGGGCGGACTGGCCATTGGGAATACCGGGAGTTGTCCCGGTGGGCCGGTCGGACAATTCACTAGCGCACCCCCCCCCCCCCCCCCCTTCATCTTTGATTCTGTGGAACTGACATCTGTATCGACTGAAACAGTTAACCTGGTTTGAAAAGATCTTTCCACCAAGCTGACCTGAAATAATATACTGAACAGAGATTCAAACTACCAAAAGATTCAGTAATGGTGGGTATTTAAACATTAACAGCTAATATGATTTCCGTTATTATGCACTCAACATTTAAACATATGCAGTGAGCGAATTATTAGTTGTAATGTCATTTTTCAACGATATTTGGCAGAGTATATAAAGGTAAAATGTGTCTTGTTGTTCTTTGTTCAGTTGCGAGACGAAAATACTCTGAAATGCTTTTATGTCAAGCTCGCTGATGAAAGGAAAGCACCAGGGAGCTAACAGCGTAAAGCAGCTGACCTAAACACAGAGAGGCACCATAACTCCCTCCCATGATCCACAAGCTAGGTCGTTGGATGTTCCTTAATTAAAGTGTTTCAATATACTCTATGTAATTCTCTAGAGAGAAGCACTCGAGTTGAACGGATAGAAGATAATGCAGGTATATGTTAGCCACTGTATGATGCAAACTATCTAAGTAATGCAATAAAGTATATATCATATATAATAATAATGACACAAAGGACAAATTAAGAGGCTGGTTACTTTCACTCAATACAATATCTCTAGTTGATAGTGTTTGAAGCTTTACATTTACAGTCTATAGATTGAAGGCCCCGATGGTGTGCTGCACGTCAACCAAGAGCAGTGAGAATTGTTACGGTTGACAGGTTGCAGTTGTGATTGGCAGAGTGCTGAAGTCATAGGGTCCGAGGGACACAAGAGGTCAGCATGTGAGAGAAACATTAGATTTTCCCCATCGACAGCCGTCAGGAGCAAACTTGAAAATGCCTGTGTCAATCTAAAACTGTAGAGCTACTGTATCTAAAGATCAAGCTTCCATGACAGTCATTTTGGTAGTAATTATTACATAAAACATCAACAGAGAGATGATGTCAATGAATGATGTCATGCTTATATGGGTCAGTGTTATAGGTTGCACGGATCAGCTGCTCATGTCTTCTGTCTACTTTTAGTGAACATAAGATATTGGATCAGTGTTCGATATGATATAAGTCATTCCTTTATTGCCACGCAAAGTAATGCTTTCTTGGAAGGAGATATTAATTTCCCTGTCAACGTGCTGGATTGCTTAGTCTCGGTTTCAATAGCTCGTTCGCTTCCCATGATATTCTTGTAGCTTGACAGCAACTGTACACTGACAACAAGAAGCTCCAAATGCGTTTCTTTAAATGATTAAATGGAAGATTACTAAATATAGAGGGCAGTATTTTGTAGACGGGAAAGTATTAATACTGGCATTAAACCTTAAAAAGCCACTATGGTGAAAATCACCAGAGTGGCTCTTTGTTTCAGAGGAGAGTCACTGTGTGGCATCTGGGAGTGATAAAGGATTATAATGCTTTAGAAAACAACAAGATTACTTCAGCAGGCTAATGGATAGAAAATGTGACCGCGTATTAAATATTTTATACGCCTGGAGCAGCGAAAATGCCACTTGGAGAGGATTAATCTTTTGCTAGCAAAACAAATCACTGAGGGCATTATTTTTAACTTACACTACTAACTGCTCTTACTGGACTGCAGTTATTACAATCTTTTGATTATGTGGGCGAGAAGAGGAGGAGGAAAGTGGAGATAAGAGTAGTTGTTAACAGACTAACACTTTTTTACACAGGCAAATAAAAAGCAAACAATAAAATTAAGCACAGGTTTACAAGTTTAGGCTTGGCGTAGGATAGGTAAAAATGAATGAAAACACTCATAAGGGATAGGCTACTATAGTAAACAACTGTCAGTTAAGATACAGTTACGCGGATTTGATGTCAACCATTGAAACCCAACTGACAGAATTTGAATACTATAGTAAAAACGTTTCTGTCAACTACAGCAATTGGTAAGTGATGATTTAGAAAAAAATAGCTGTAGCGATTAGTCTATGTATCCATCAACAATAATTTGAATATCAAAAACATTGTCAATTTATGTTAAACTGTTTGGGTAACGATTTGAGTCTTGAGAAAAGAGGAAATTAGGCTACTTTATCAAACATTAAATAACCGTTAAAAACGTTATTGATGTGCATAGATTCATCAAGTCAATTAATCATTTAAATATTAAAAGACCAACATTAGCTAGCAAATTTTCTTTATCTTATTGTAAGTATATGAATCCAGAAATAATCGGTAAACGATAACGAAGACAATGTTGCCGTTATATTCTGTTGTCATGCCATACAGCAACATGACAGAGAAAACAATGTCTGCGTTTACAACAAAGACGAGTTGACAGTGAGTGGAGAAGAAAAGTGACAGTGAGGCCTAAAGTAACAACACAAAAGCAAATAAATACAATATCACTGGAGTTAATAAATTATGGCTAAAGACGCAAATTATTACTGAGGCAGATTAAAGAAAAATTCAAAAAGACGTTAGGCTACTTTTTCCAAAGTAAAATAACCGTTAAAAACGTTACTGAAGTGAATAGTCAAGTCAAGTAATAATTTCAATATTTTAGGACCAACATTAGCAAGCAGATTGTCTTGTGTTTTATTCTAGGTCAATTATGGATTTTGACTGGTGTAACATGAAAACAAAGGAATCTGATGGCATCTTCTTTAGGGAAATAGTGATGGACATTTCCATTAAAATGTCCATCAGACGATAAATGTATGAATACAGAAATAATTAGTAAACGATAACGAAGATAATGTTACCGTTATATTCTGTTGTCATGCCATACAGCAACATGACAGAGGAAAAAAAGATCTGCGTTTACAACAAAGACGAGTTGACAGTGAGTGGAGAAGGAAAGTGACAGTGAGGACTTAGGTAACAACACAAAAGCAAACCAAAATATGTTATCACTCGAGTTAATAAGTTATGGCAAAAGACACAAATAATTATTGAGGCAGATTCAAGAAAAATTCAAAAAACGTTAGGGTAACGTTCCATTTTCAAACGTTAGCCGTTCGAACCGTTTAAAACATGATTCTAACGTTAACGTTACTGCGTATTTGATGTCAACCGTTAAATAGCCCCCAAATAGTTAGCAACTGACAATGTTAGCTAAGTTAGCTAGCGTCCCCGTAAATCTCAGTAAGGGGTTAAACATAATTCAGGTTAAAAAAACACCGTTGTCATAACGTTACACAGTGCAGATGGAAAATATCTTGGCATTTCCAACAAAGAAAACCCACTCACCATAGTAAGATGAGCGGGTGTCCGTCTTTCTAGCCATGGCACTTGGTAGCACAAATGCAGCGTCGTCTTGGTTTTGGAGACCGCATATGAGAGTCGAGTTAAACTGGAGTTTATTTTAGTGCCTTTCAACGGTCCCGTCGAGAAATAAACACAGGAACCTGGAGAGGTCTGGGGCGCGAGGATGCTTCGGCCACGCAGCTGAGCGTCAGTCGTGTTTACAGCGCGACGTCATTAATTATTCTTAAAGGAGACGTGCACCCTCACTGCTGCTGCTGGATGTCCTGTTTCCCTTTGTTAGGATGTAATTTAAACATCCACGTTTTTGTGCAGTTTGTCTTATAACATGAAAATGTGTAGGATGTATATAAAGGATTGCAAAAGATCAGAGGGGTTAGTGAGCCTGTGTCTGCCAGAAGAGTGGTGATAGCCCGGTTGCTTTTCGGTTGATTAATAATACAGACAACATTGCAGGTAGGCTAGTATTTTTAGGAGGCAGTGACATCTCTGTCCACACCGAGGCGTCCAGTGGATAAACACTGACCCCAGCTGGGTATTCTTGGATATTGCAAATATATTCTCTATTTTGTCTTCCCTTTTTAATTTCAACAGTGGTATTATTTAAAAAATAAATTAAAAAATGTATATGAATCTCCTTCGAATTCGTCCCACTTGTTCTGGTTGTCAATAGAAAGTCAAATCTCTCCTGGAATCACATAATGACTAATGTATACAATTCATAATTATAATAATTCAGGTATAAATTCCCATCTAAACAGGTGCAACACAACTAGGAAGAGGGCAAGAGAGATGTCAATATCTTACAAAGCACATTCTTTACATGCCCATCTGTTAATGATCCATGTGCATGTTGTGTACTGCCTTAAGTGCAGGCAAATATAATATTACTCACAGAGCGCAGATAGGCCCTCTTAATCAATTACTATTAAATGTGAGGCAGTAAGAAGTGTGTGTGTGATTCAGGTTGCTCTCACTTACTAATACAGTTTCTATTATTGTGAAATTCCAACTGCACATCCTAGAGAATGTTTTATTTTCTGCAAAGTAAAGTCCAGGAGCAACTTCAATCCCTTTTTAAACTAAGATAAAGTATTAGTCCCAGAACACAACAACACCCAATAAGAGAAGTATTTGCTTTACATACCTGTATGTATTCACAGACACACATTGATTACAGGGTTTGAGAGTCCACTATTTTGACTATGTCCAGGACGTGGCAGCAGAGACTTAATATTCTGCACAGTAACCGGGGATCCTGTGAGCTGAGCTGTGGGGTGAGATTTCCATACAGTATCAACAAAGAAAGATAGAACAGAAGCATGTTTTATCTGTGACAGTTTTCCGACAAAGGGATTTAACCTGAATGCTGCCTCAATAATAATTACACATCGCCAAACATTATCCCTCTATAACGACAGAATATCTAAAACATTAACATTTCAAGCATTTTAATGTAAGATTAGATTAGAAATGGGACAGGTCATTTGTATTGCACTCTGACATCCACAAAGTGATGTCTCCCTTAGTGCTTTCTGGGTGAAAGTAATGAGATCTGAGGCTGCCAAAGGCCAGTCATTAAGAAGGGATTGACTTTTCCCGAGACAGATCATTTGTTGATGTGGCAGGATCCCTTCCAGTAGCACAGGGAGAATCAGTATCACATTATTTTCCAAGTGCAATACGGTTAATGTAAACCAATTTGTCTTGGTGACACAGGACATTGGTTTCAACCGTTTATGGCCTACAACTAGTGTGTCTGAATTGGAAGGCTGTGACACATCTTACAATAGAAAATACAAAGACAAAACAACATAAAAGGACAGATTTTTTTTTATCAGTCCTACTGTGTACATTTCAGGAAAATTATAATGTATCTTTTGAACTTCTGTTAATCGATGATTATTGCAGTTGGGTTTTGATGCTATTAATAGTTACCAGAGCCAGATGGACCCTACAATTTATAGCTCAGTTTGAAACATACTGCCTGCTGTTGTGTGCATTTCTACATTATTAGCAGTGATGGCTAACGTAGAAACCTTAATAGTTAAAGGAGAAAAAGAGGTTGATATAGTTGGGAACCTTTTAATCCATCTACCTTTGTTCTTTTGCCAATTTATTTCCATTTTTCTAATAAAAGGGCCTTTACAATACAGCCTTATGTTATCGCATTTTACAAGGTCAATCAAAGTGTGTGCTCTTTGCCAGCCAGCTGTGGGAATGTTCACTTATCCTGCAAGAAATTAGCAAGCACAATGACACATTTTTTAGGTCAATGTATTTTCCCCTCTAAGAATGACAGTATTTTGCAGAGTTGCCAGTCCATCTGCTTGTCATTCAGGGGAAATGATGGATGCCAACAGCTTGCTAATTATATAATCGCGAGGGGACACAACAGATGCAGTCACATTTTGTGCTGATTTGGTCTGCAGCCTCTCTCCACTTTCTGAAACAAAAGACAATTTATTTCCCTGTGACGGCTGTTCTTCAGCAGGTTGGCTAGAGAGGGAGTTGTTTCTGATTTGATCGGGGCAGAAGGAGATGCTTTTAACACCATCACCCTTTTTCATTCTCATTCATTGCTGCAGTTGCAATCAAGCCTGCTGTCCTTCAAATTGACACCCCTCCGACTCCAACCATCAAAGAAAGTGATTCAGTAACACTGTACAACAGTACCATCACTGCTTGAAACGAATAACAGAGATACAAAGTGCTTTCGGTGACTGGAGGGCTTTTATTGTTCTTCAATCGATTGGATAAACACAACACTTCTGAGAAACTGAAAATTGCATCTGTGATTGTTAGGGATACCAGCCGATGAGGCAATGACCTGTCTGTAAGAGGAGACGATTTGCAAAGAGAATGAAGACGTTTTATCTCCTATAAATGCTAATGTACCTACATGTACCTCCTGTTGCCCTTCTTTTAAAGATGTGTCACAGCTAAAGCATTTGTATGAACTAATCGATACAATAACATTCACCAATGCTGCACCTCCACCCTTTCTGCAGGTGCTTTAGAAGTGTAAATTGGCAATTGATGCAAATTGTTTAGTAGACTTATATTGCTCTTTTATTATAGAAATAGGTCCTTCCTCTTGCCTATAACCGTCTGCTAACATCTAATGTATATCACTCTCCCATAAGAGACCAATATGCACTCTAATAACATTCAGTATAATAGTAATTTTGTGGTCTAATGTTGAGGTATTTCTACAGTGCTTTTAAGGCAAAATATATCATTTTGTATATTCTTTTACCGTTATGAGATGGATGTCACATATTGTTATAGTTAGGGTATATTTTGTGTCCCCAAGAAAAACTGGACCCAACTACCATTGACATCTTGCATATGACATGATCCTGTGTAGTAGACCTAATAATGAGTAAAAAGATAACCAGCTCTAGGCACAACAAACAGGTGCAGATTACTTCACACTTGTATTGTATTTGGCCCGGCGTAGGCAGACAGCCATCTGGATACAAGGTTGGAGTTAATTAAAAAAGTTTTTTCCCGTTACACAGTCCTTTGTCTGGCTCATGTGTGTGTATGTTGTGTGCGCTCCCCAGAGTTGTGTTTTGAGATGCTTTCCAGACCTCAGGGACAACTCCAATCAAAACACCAAGACTGCAAACAACCTACAGTAATCCTCTTGATTCACAATGATGTTCTGCATTGTGATGAACTGATCCTCAGTGATAAAGATCATTTTGTCAAGACAATTATTCTAACAATGATTTGGCTACAATATTTACGACAGAGAAAATGTAAAAGTCATTCAAAAGAACAGTCAAATACACTGCATTTTCTGGAAATACATCATCATTTCATGTGAAGATGTACCCAACACCACTCCTATTGGAGCTACTCATTTTAAAATACTGAAGACTAAGACTTTTGTAAATAATATACTAGGTTATATAAGCAGTTACTAGTAAAATAATGGTTCACAATCAGTTAGTTCCTTATCCATTCCAAGGTAACTACTTACATTTTTGTTTGCCTAATTGTGCAGTTTCTCCCATATTCTATATGAATCCCTGTATCAGATACAAAGCTAATTAACCAAGTGAGACAATTGTAAAAAACTTCTGTAAATCTAGGCCAAAAACATAAAAGGGATGACGTGCTGTTCCCACATGTAACTTGTAAGTAGAACACACTGATTTTTCTCACAGCATTTGGTCTGGCTGTGTTTTTTTTGTTGATAAATTACTTACTATTTCCCACAAAGCCAAGAGATGTGTTTCAGTTTGTATAGTGAGACCTGTAAAGGAATGACGAGAACATGGAAAATACATTAGAAAATGAACACAATGATACCGGCTCAGAGGATGACTATAAAAAGACTCGTTCCCCATTTCCAAGCTCCTCAAACAAGATTACAGCCACCAGCAAAATCGGAGTCCCATGAGGAGCTTAGCTGCTCAGATTTCCATGACAAATGCGTAAAATAGTATTCTGTCCTTAAATCGGATGTCTCGAAATCTGCTCGTGTCACAAACATGACAATGTATCACTTACTCCTGTATAGTAATGTAATCATAATTTCTAGCAGGATGCAATACAATTACAATATAAGACATATAACAGTGCTATAATTCAGAACAATATTACTTTATACTGAGCAGTGTAACACTAAATCTGACCCACAAAAGGCTGTCACTCACTCAAAACACTCATGTTGGCATTTAAAAAAATGTCAGTCAGTGAATCACTGCTACCAAAGTGAAATGTCCTAGTTTTATTGTGTAACCCAAGACCTTGTGCCAAACTACGAAAGGCCACTGAAGTTGTGTTTAACTAGGTATCACAATTATCATCAGATTTCCTTCTTCAGAACACTTTCTCTCAGTCACTTAGCACCTTCGTAGTCTCAATACAGTCAGCTCATTACGGAAACACATCTCCACTGAATTTCTATTGAAATAACATAACATGGAACATAAATAGTTTCAGGAACTATAAAGTTAAAAACCATTATTTAAAATGTCTTCATCTTTACCATTGCATGTAGCCTTTGTCTGATACTGTAGCTGTGATGAAGGCAGCATGCATTCTTCTCAGCAAACCAACGTACTGTATGGTCATGACCGATGAGAATGATTATAAACGCGACACCTCTGTAAAGAAAATAAATCTTAATTTCAATTGAAAAATGGTGACGTACAGAAGTAGAAACTCCATT